TTCAGGAAATTCTCTTCTACAATCCTGTTTAAAATCTGGTCAATGCCATTAACCTGAAATTCTTCTCTTTCCTCTATGCCTATGATATGTAGATTTGATCTTTTCATGGTATCCCACATCTCTTGCATATTCCATTCCTGTGCTTTTTAAAATGTTTCCTAATCTTTTCTTGAGTTGTCCAAGTCTTCAAACTTATCCTCCAGTGTTGGTATTCTGTTTTCCATTTCATTCACTCTAGTGGTGAGGCTTTCCCCTGTTGTTTCAAGTTGACTTACTGAATTTTTCATTTCCTTCTTCATTTCTACCTGAGTTTTCTTCAATGTTTCTATCTCTTTTGTGAATTCATTCAGAAGTTTATCCCTGTGTTCTTTTAGTTCTTTGATTTGTTTGTATGTTCTTTGAATTCATTGAATTCCTTGATTATGTTTATGATCTTTCAAACTCTGTATCTTGGGTTATCTCTAGGGGTTTCTCCGTGTAGAACTCTTCTACAGAACTGGTGGAGTTTGGTGGGGACATATTTTTTTGGCTTTCCATTTTATTATTCTTTCATTATGATTTTGGCATGTGAATTTCTTTTGTTGTTTGTGATTCTGATATGAAAATTAAATTGAAGTATGCTTCTGTTCATATTATTGGTGTGCCTTGGTCCTTTTCTTATTGGTTATGTAAAGCTGGTGGGTCCAGGTTTCAGATTCTCTCAGGTTTTATTTTGGAGGGAATTGATGGCTTCAGATCAGCAACTCAGGAGCTCCCACAGAAGCCCAAGTCAGGTGCCAGTCAGGTATACTCAGGCTTCCTTCTTAGGTTTGGACCCCTAGTAGCAGGAACTCAGGGCAAAATTTGGGAAGTTCCCTAAGGGGGGGGGGATTTTGGGACTCTCAGGTGGTCTGCTGAATTCTCAGTTCCTATGCCAGAGGGAGGCCGGAACAGGCACTCTGGCCATCTACTGAGATCTCAGCTTTATCCTACCAAATGGGCAGAGGTCTGCTCCAGGCCCTTGGCAGGGGCCTCATGTAGTCCCAGTTGGGGGGTTGGATACGGTACAATTTGAGGAAGTTCACCACCACGTGGGGGCAGGATCCAGGCACTCTCAGGTGGTCCCCTGAGTTCTCAGCCCCTATGCTAGAGGGAGGCCAACAGGTACTTTGATGGTCTGCTGAGATCTCTGTTTTATCCTACCAACCAAACTTGAAGTTTTTACACATATAATTCCCAAATTTACATGTTTAGTTTGAGTTTTACACACACACATACACACAACACACACACACACAGACACATATGTACTTAAATTATAAGGAATATTCATAATATGGTGGTATAGTGTCAATGTATTTGGATTTGTCTCTCCTCAGTAACACAGAACATCTGTTTGGCCAGAGAAACACATGTCTGTCTTTATCAAAAGCTCGTTCAGTAACATACTAACAAAGCACAGTCTACATATTCTCTGGGCACTATAACTTCTGCCCTCCAATAGATCCAGACCCTGAAGTCACTGTGCTCTTAGACTATCCTGTCTTCAGAGAGTTTGAACTTGCCAAATTACATAATGATAGTATGTCCACTTTCTACAGTGACAGGATTGAGCCATGTAAAGATAGCCTCTTATGTATTATTGGGGTATTGTCAAGGACACTGCTATTTGTACCACTCTCTTTTATCTTTTTGCTTGTTTGTTTTGCAACAGAGTCTAATTCACCTGGAACTCCTTATGCAGACCCTCTCAGGTTGACCTCGATCTCACAGAGATCTGCCTGTCTTTGAGTCCCCAGTTCTGGGATTAAAGAGGTGTGCTACCATGCTTGGCTGTTCTTAACAAATACTGACCAGGAGGTATTTTTTTGTCCTTTGTTTTATTTATTTCCTTGCTTGAGACATATAGTCTCTTTATGTAGCCAAGACTGGCCTGGAACTATGTTGACTAAAGCTGCCTTGAATTTTTGATCCTGCTGCCTCATGCTCCTCAGCTCATTAATTACTGCCCAGTATTATTTTTAAAAACGTATTATCTCAATAAGAAGCTGACTTTTTTATTCTATCGACATTATGATTTTGTAACTGATCGTTTTTCACTTATTGCTTTACGAATGCACAAGTTCAATATCAAATTTATGATGCACAGATAACATGATTTCATGTTATTTCCCGAGCTAATATGATCACATCGATTTTCCTTGCCAGTTTCACTTTGTCCTTACTCTCTAGTTTCTGTACTCTATTCCCTTGTATCATATAGTTTTCTATGTTTCCTCAAAATGATAAACAGCTAACTATACATGTGATTAGAGTACTTCCAACACTGTTATTTTCTTGCTTGCCTTTTGAACTGGGCCCCAATAACCTTGAAAACTTGGGCTTTATTTTAAGCACTTAATATATAGTATAATATAGATCATTCTTATTAGCACAATATCTATTGCACCCTAGATCTGTACTAAGTACCCACCTGCAACTTATGGCTCATTTAACATTTAATAAGATAGCCTCCAGAGGGCACTCCAGGCCTTCCTGACTCTGGCTGTCTCTCTCCTCTAAAGGTCCTAAGGAAGAGTTATAGGTTATTCTCTTCCTTCCTTCCTTCCTTCCTTCCTTCCTTCCTTCCTTCCTTCTCTCCTTCTCTCCCTCTTTCTCTCTCTCTCTCTCTCTCTCTCTCTCTCTCTCTCTCTCTCTCTCTCTCTCTCTCTCTCTCTCTCTCTCTCTCTCTCTCTCTCTCTCTCTCTCTCTCTCTCTCTCTCTCTCTCTCTCTTTCTCTCTCTCTTTCTCTGAAAAATCTTTTAGGATTCTTTTTCCTTTGCTCTCGCAAAATCCCTATTGGTGGTAGTAATTTTCTGACTCTGGAAAGGTGATGTCTAGGTATTCACAGAAAAATTATGTCATGTCAACTAGAGATGATCTGTGAGTAAAGAAGGGGAGGGCCTAGAGCCCTTAGTTGCTATGGCAACAAGACTTTGACACACTGCAGCCTCCTGTCTAAGAGCTGATCTTCTCAGTGTGAAATAATTTCTTCTTCATTACTGCACAGTGGGGAGTGTGACGGCTTTGAAGGTCTGGAGCTCTCCAGCATGGCTGGGTGTTCCCAGCACTCAGAACATGAGAGGCTGGAGGAGAAAGACTGTTCGTCACCCATTCAGCCCTCTTATTTTCCTTCATCTACCATTTCTTGAATTTTTTTCAAAAGACCATTTTAAGAAAAAAAAAAAAGAATAATCAGAAAATTGCTGCATTTTGCAAATTACAACATTATTTCTGAATGGTTAGACTAGAACTCCATCTTTTCTTTTATAGATATCTTAAACATATCAAGTAAAATTTTTTTTGCTATCCATAAAATTTTTCTCTCAAGGAATTTTTATGGCCCTTTACAAATTTTTAGGAATATGAGTAAAGTTCGGGTATGCCTTTAATCCCAGCACTTGGAAGGCAGAGGCAGGTGGATCTCTGTGTAAAAGGTCCTTTGGGATCATATTCAAGAATCTGAAAACATGAACATGATCTTTACCATGAGTTACAACTGTGATTGGGGTGTCTTCACGGGAAGACAGAAAAACATGTGCACAGAGATGTAATTCTGAGCCTCTCTTGAAACACCAGGAAAGAAATAGTTTTAAATGATTGACTTGGCTTCATCCAGTTTGGAAGTTTTATTAGGATGCCTTTTTGAACTTTGAATGCTATCATACACAGTAAGTACAGAGGTGAGTTCAGGGCTAAGAGTTCAAATCACTCAGTTCTCTGCAGGGCTCGTTACTGTGTCCTTAGGTAGTTCAGTGTCAGAGCAGGTCCCAGAGGAAAATAGTAGCGCATTGTTTTTTATGTAAAATAACAGGAACCATAAGATTCTTGTGGAATATTAGGTAATAAATAGGACTTGGAAGAAGGCTGCCTTTTAAAACTTTAGGTGATCAAATTTCCCTTTCACTCTTTTGTTGAGAAACTGTATCGACTATTTTCTTGTATTAAAAACATTTTTCTCTGGGCTAGAGAGATGGCTCAAGGTTAAGAGCACTGACTGCTCTTGCAGAGGACCCGGGTTCAATTCCCAGCACCCACATGGTGGCTACAAATGGTCCTTACTCGAGTTCCAGGGGAATCTGAAGCCCTCTTCTGACCTCTGCAGCATTGCATGACACGGGTGCACTCACATACATGCAGGAAATACACTCATACACATAAAATAAAAATAATAAAATATTAAAAAAAGAACATTTTCCTGTTCACCTGAAACATTATTGTTTAGACCAAATCCTCACTGTATCTGAATGTATGGTATGTATCCAAGTCACAGGGAAGGAAACAAATCATCCTAAATATTTCAAATTATGTTTCCTGAGGGAGCAATCAGAGCACAGCCCAAAACACATGCTTAGATGCATGGCCCTTGCGTTTACATACTCCTAGACAGGGAAAGTAAGCTTGGTACCTCATGTGGGACTTCACATCCAGCAGCTCCAGGGCGGTGACCCGTGGCTCCCCAGCCAAGTTTTGCAAGATCTTCAGCCTTGGTCCACAGTGCTTATAGAATTCTGTGCAAATGTTCAACAGAGATTCCCGGGGTCTTCTGAACTCTTCTCGAGCAATTCGTTCATCTAGTTCCTCTCTGGGAAGGCCTTGACCTTCCTCCAGTAAGTGAAGGTTTTCCCTGGGGAATTATGAAAGATTAACTAGGGCTCTGGCAAAGTGTGCTTGTGATAAATACTAGTGGACAGAGGTGTGATTTCTACTGAGTTGAGGAGTCAGCAGGCAGAGGCCCAGGAGACTCTCTTTTGAGGGATCAAGAAAATTTATCAGCCTAGAAGATATTGCAGTACCTTTACCTTAATCCTTTTCTAAAATTTTACATGAAAAGGGTATGCTATGCATCCAGTGATAAATGTAATGGAATCATAGCCCAGATCCAAGGGCCTTGTCTCACCAGGTCACCATGGGTATGAGATCAGAGGAAGTCCCACCGTACCTGATAAAGTGCAGTTTTGCTCCTTGCTCCTGGTACCTGTGAGTCAGAAAAACAGCCTTAACTAGCAGAGCAAGAACAGGGTTCCTTTGCTGAGGCTCCCTGGAGACTTCATATGAAAATTCCTTGAGGTAAAAATTCTGATAAATACATATACACACATTAATCCTAAAATGTAACATCATCTTTCATTTGGCTACCACACATACTGCACTTATAGCTTCTATAAAACAAGCCTGTTTCACTGTGATATCACTTGTATAGAGAAAGAAGTAAAAACCCGTGTAAATTCATGGACTATAGGCAAAGGAGGAAGAGTTTTTAAAACTCTGAAGTCAGAGGCA